GTAATGCACCTGGGAAAACAGAGGAAAATGGCCCAAATGCTTGGGCTCTCGCACCCACATGGGAGACCTGGAAGAGGCTCTGGGCTCCTGGCTTCAGCCTGGAACAGCCCCAGCCATTGCGGCCATTTGGAAAGTGAACCAGTGGATGGAAGATTGATTCTCCTTTTCTCTCTCTCTCTCCCTTTGACTTTCAAATTTAAAAAGAGCAACATGAGAATGGAATTAAGCATTGCTTCTCTGTTAAACTGTAAATAAGCACTCCACTGTTAAGAAAACAGCATGTATTTTTATATCTTCCAACCATTTAAAAAATATAGGTATATTTTGCTCTTTTCTTTTAACTGATATGTCTATCAAGACTTTGGTTTGGGAATGAAGTCATAGTTTAAATACATGGGGATAGACAGCTCTCCTGCACTTCACTGGTCAGACAGGTCTAAGCCAGACTCTGAAACCCATCATTTTGATTTCTGCTTGAAATCTCACCATTAGAATCTTAAAGGCTTTTTAGTTTGATTCAAGAACAGTGTTATACAGACAGCTCTATGAAGGGAAATATCTCTACCTACTATCCCTAGGGCTAATAATGATTATTATTGTTTTTAAATGCATCTAATTATTTAGAGAGGTTTGAATGATAGACCAGAGACACCAGGGCCTTCCATCTGGGCCGAGGAAGGCCTCTGAGGCTTTGACTCAATGCAGACTACAAAGGTACACAGGACAGCACTCATGTGACCTTCACCATCTCTGGCCACTTGCTGAGCTGACTGACCGTATCCTGTGAATTCTGCTGTTGAATCTTGTTAGGATGACCATCCGTTTAAATATAACGTACCGCCATCAATGCATTCTCTAAGTCCAATTTGAGTTTATTGGGTTTGTTTGTTTACAATGGGTGCCTCAGCCAGATACAAATACCAGAGGCTTAAGTAACTCTACAGAGAGAGAGAGAGTGGCCTTGAGTCTGGGGTTGATTCCTCCTCCTACTCTAATACAGGGGTCACCCCTGGGGAACTATGCAAACGTTAAATGCTCTTTCCTTATCAAATTCAAGTTAATCAATGGTAATTTGGAAGCATCCACTGAGACACTTGGAGGTTCAGGAATTTCCTGGACTAGGAAATGCCTACTTTAAGGGACAAAGAAGTCATCCCTGGGTCAGTCAATGGGCAGGACATCCCTTCCAGAGGAGGTATCCCCCAGTCTGTGCTGAGTGAATGGGGGACCATGGCCAAGGAAAATGCTAACAGAAAGGCTGAGCCCAAGTACATCACTTTCTCAGTATTTTTGCTACTCTGCGAACCTGATTCCCCCAATACCTCGGTTTTTATGGGCTCAATGCCAGTCAGTTAAGTAAATTAAAAAGTACATTTCCGGCTGGCGCCGCAGCTCACTAGGCTAATCCTCCGCCTTGCAGCGCCGGCACATCGGGTTCTAGTCCCGGTTGCCCCTCTTCCAGGCCAGCTCTCTGCTGTGGCCTGGGAGTGCAGTGGAGGATGGCCCAAGTGCTTGGGCCCTGCACCCCATGGGAGACCAGGAGAAGCACCTGGCTCCTGCCTTCGGATCAGTGCAGTGCGCCAGCCGCAGCGCACCAGCCGTGGCGGCCACTGGAGGGTGAACCAACAGCAAAAGGAAGACCTTTCTCTCTGTCTCTCTCTAACTCTGTCAAAAAATTTTTTTTAAAAATTAAAAAAAAGTACATTTCCAGGTATAGGTGCATGAAATGGGCAAACGTGATGGCACAATTGTGGAAATACTGAACTTCAGAGAAACAGGAAGCCTAAGAAGAAATCTAGCTAGCTCTGAGTAGGACTGCACCAGGTCCCCAGAGCCCTCCAATGTGCTAGGTCTGCAACCCAAAGACTCTCCAACCAGCCCTTGACAAGTGCTCCTCCTAACTCTACCTCAGGGAAAGAGTTCTTGAAATACTAATAAGGGTTCACTGTTTGCTGTGTATTTCATATAATTGAATTAAATAACTAATAAATGAAATGTATTTTGATTTTATCCCTTTCTAGAATCGAAATCTTCTCTTGAGTACATTTCTGAGGTTGTCAAGAATCCTCTGGTGTCAGCCAGCACCACCCAATGAATGGACAGTACCCCTGGAAGATTATTTTGTCATCTACTTTTGTTTCTAGAATGTGTAAGAACCAGGAGGGCAGCCCTATCTGTGTTAATCACTGTTGTACTTCCTAATGGCTCCAGCAAGGTCCCTGCTATTTAACTGGTTCTTGTTCATGTTTGCTAAACGAATGAGCAGGTGGAGAGATGTGAACGAACATCTCTTAGCCAGCTTTCTGTGGCCCCCAAGATTGGCACGCACTTGTCATGTGAAGCTGCTTTTGGGAAACCTGATCAGTGTGGTGACTGGACTGGTATAATACACCAAGGTTAGGAAAGCAGTTACAGAGAGGCGGGCAGAACTTCGGGTTGCCAGGAACCTGAGGAAACAAGCTGCTAATAATGTGATGCAAGCTGTTTTCTTCCGAACCTCTGGACCAGGGGTCTCCTGGCAAAACGTCTTTGCTGAGGGCCAGATCGCAAACATTTTCAGCCTTGGAGACCACACTAATTCTGTTGTAATTACTTAACTGTACTATTGTGGCAGCCATAGATGAGAGATAAATGAATGGGGTCTAGGTATGGCTATGTTGCAATACAACTTTCTGTACAGCACTGAAATATGAATACCAAAAAATTGTCATCAGTCATGAATTTGATTTCTTTTTCCTCTCATTTAAAATGTAAAACTTTTAAAACTTTTTCTTAGCTCATGAGATTTGTCCCAAGGATAGTAGTCTGCGAATCCCTGCTCTTAGCAAACAGTATGCCATTCTAACAACTCTCTCAAATTGGAAGAAACTGAATCTGGCAGAAATAGCCTGTTCCCTTTTCCATTAAAGTAAAATCCCAGGCAAAAAAATATTAATAGGAACATCACAGATAATGACCAGATCATAATGGCTGGCCATATCATCTTTTATTTCTATCTCAAGTTAAAACAAAACAAAAACCAGCTGTTCATTTGATTTAGGGCTGGAAGATGAAAGTAAATCAAAGAATAAATGAAATCTACAAATAATCCAAAGAAACCTCATAACACTTTATACTACTTCTAAGCCACACCCACCAAAAAATACTCAAGTTGCTAAGAGATGACCACTTGCCTTACTCAGATATAACCCCTTTGCTACTCCTGATCTCTCCTTACAGAGAGTAAAGACTAATGACACAGATTCTCAGATCCTGAGTCTTTAACAGTGGCCCCACACTCCAATTTGTAGTCTGCAATGTCTACCTGAGCAAACCATGACAACTCTGATGAATAACTTAATTTCTTAGCCCAATGGCTAAGAATTTAATTTTATCAAATAAATAAAATTCACATTGTAAATATCACCACCAACACATTCAAATTCATATAGTAACACTCATTTTCTGTTGAATCCAGTTTTTCAAAGGCTTACTGTGCTTTAATCACATGTGAACTTGGAGGGTCAGTTAAATTTTTTTCTACCCTTCATAAACATGTTAAATTTAAAGATACTCCCAAAGACTCATAAAAAGTTGGAAATTTTATGATGTGCCCTTTGCTTGTATAAATATCTTGCAGTTCTAATAAGTTTATATCCATAGTTTGAATGAAAAAATATTAACTAGCTGCAGAAAATAACTTTTGAGAAAAATCCTACTAAAAATGTAATTTGTCATGTAAGATGATAACTAATTAAAAAAAATCCTTTCTATCCCGAGAAGTCACAACAAAAAGTTTAAGTGTGTTTGGGCTGATTTTTCTCTGCAACTATTTGAAGCTGTAAATGACTTAACTCAGTAAAATTCCAAATGTAATTATCTTCTGTACTTAGCCTAGGGCTCTCCATATATCTCAGCATTGCTGTCTTGCATACAAAATAGGCTTTCCAATGGCTGGTAACAATATAATGTACAACATTGTTTTAATTTCCCCTAGTCTGCTAACCTCTTGCCTACACTAAACCAGCCAGAGGAAGAAGCCATAGTGAGTCATCAAGCACTCAAAAGCATTTTGGAACTCGGTTGCATAAATGGGGTTTGCAAGGTCAGGCTTTTGCAATTGTAAATTTGAATAATCTCCATGTCTGACCCAATTTTTACTTTTTGAAGCTAATTTTCTATTAATTATACTAAGAACAGTATTATCGTTGAAATATGGTGGTTCATCAACAAGTTATCCCCGGAAGTAAAATCCACATTAAAAATGTCCCCATCACTTGCAGTTGTGATTCTGCAGGGAAAATCTGCACAAGTTTATTTTTCCTAGTAGAAAAATACATTCCACATAGCCCAATGGATTTTCAAATACCAGATCATATATATATATATATATTATATACACACACACTCCATGTATTACATATATTTATTTGAATATGTGTATTGAAAATGTGTGCAGTAACTCTCAATTATTCTCACTGATAGAAAAGGGGTCAAAGAAAAATGAGAAATAAACCCTCATAAAACTTCTATTGTAACTTGGAAAATGTGCTTTTGTGTGTGCTCACTCGCCCAGGCTCACTCGCTCTTTCTCTCTGCATTCACATTCATTCTCTCTCAATCTCTCTCTCCCTGGCTTGTCTTCCTAGCTCCAGTTTCGCAGTATTAGCAACTTCAGGGACTTACCACCACCACCACCACCAGTTCACCAGAAAGCGAAAAGGAGGAGAGAGAAGGGAGGGGGAGTGAGAGAGAGATGGAAAAGCTGAAAGTGGTAACTGAGAATTGGCTGCAAACACAGACGAGCCCAGAACTTCGGAACATCTGAGCAGCACTTCCAAAGGAGTGAACCGAGGCTGAACTTGCCCGGAGAGTTAACAAAATTAAAAGGAAATAAAGGACACCACCAGATATTGGACCTTCCATTCAATAATGAGTGCACAGGAACTCATTACAGAACACTACAGAGATCTCGAATTGGAGGAATACTGAGGTAATATTAAAAATAAATTTGGTTTTACCTGTAGCTCTAACTGCTGTACAACCTGCATTTGTACTCTACATTGGGCTGTACTTCTATCGTCCAGCGCATGCTCACTGTTGAGATGT